TTTAATTTATTTAAATATGTTTTATAGTTTTCAGCATACAAATCTTACACTTATTTGGTTGAAATTTTTTCCTAGTTATATTATTCCTTTTGATGCTATTGAAAATAAAATTGTTTTCTTAATTTCATTTTCAGATTGTTCATAGCTAACATATAGAAATACAATTGAATTTTTGTATATTAATGTTGTATCCTTCAACTTTGCTGAACTCATTTACCAGCTCTGATTATATGTCTATGTGTGTATTCTTTAGTATTTTTTATGTATGTAAGATAATGCCACCTGCAAGTAGTTTTACTTCTTCCTTTCCAAACTTGATAATTTTTAAAAATTTCTTCTTGCTTAAATGCCCTGGCTAGTAATCCTATACAGTGCTGAATAAAAGTAAAAAGAACAGATATCCTTGTCTGCTTATCTTAGAGAGAAAGTTTTCAGTCTTTCATCATTAAGTATGATGTTAGATGTGGATTTTTCAGAGATGTCCTTTATAAGGTTGAGGATGTTTTTTTCCATTCTTGTTTGTTGAGTATTTTTATTACAAAAGTGTGTTGTATTTTGTCAAATGCTTCTTCTGTGTCTATTGAGATGATCTTTGTTTCTTTATTCTATTAGTATGATATATGACAATAATTGATTTTAATATGCTCAAGAAATCTTGCATTCCTGGAATACATCCTACCTGGTAATTGTATATCATGCTTTTTTAAATACTGCTGAATTCCATTGGTTAGTATTTTATCTATATTCATAAAAATGTTGATTTATAATTTTCTTTCCTTATTATATCTTTTTCTGACTTTAGAATTAGGCTAACACTGGCCTCATAGAATAAGTTAAGAAGCATTTATTTTCTGTTTTTTGGAGGAGTTTGAAAAGGATTGGTATCAATTCTTTTATAAATATTTGGTGTAATACGCCAATGAAGACACCTGGCCCTGGACTTTTCTTTGTTAGAAATTTTTCCATTACTAGCTCAATCTCTTTAGGTCTATCCAGATTTTCTATTTCTTCTTGAATCAGTTTTGGTAGGTTGTGTGTTTCTAAGAATTTGTGCATTTCATCCAGTTTACCTAATTTTTGAAATATAATTATTCATATTATCCCATTATAATTCTTTTTATTTATGTAAAGTGAGAAGTAATGTCATTATTATAATTCCTGATTTTAATAGTTTTCTCTTTTTTCTTCATCAGTCTATTTATAGATCTATTTGTTTTTACTGATTTATTTTTCTATTTCTTTAATTCCCTATTTCAGCTATTTCTCTTCAAGTCTATTTCCTTCCTTCTTCTTGCTTTGGGTTTAGTTTTCTCCTCTTTTTCCAGTTACTTAAGATGGAAAATTGATTTACAATCTTTTCCTTTATTAAATTAAGCATTTAGATCTAGATCTAGATCATTTTTCTTTAAGGACTGCTTTTGCTGTATCCCACAAGTTTTGCTATCTTGTGTTTTTATTTTCATTCATGTCAAGTATTTTCTAATCTCTCTTGTGATTTCTTCTTTACTTATTTGTTATTTAGGAGTATGTTGTTTAATTTCCACATACTTGTGAATTTTCCAGCTTAAATGATCAACCCAGTAGTTATCAAGGATACTGAAAAGCCTTTTATACAGTAAACATCTTCAAAGTGGGCAAAGCAGCAAGACCCGTAGAACCCTGGCAAGACCCTGTCCAACCCCACTACTACCATCCTGCATCATCTTTATTTTGTCCCTATACCCTGTGAAAGTATTTGAGGAGAAGGATAAAAGTGACGATGGTGTCTACTCTAATTTCTCTGTCAAATGTCCCTACAGGCAGGAGAACACATTCTCAAATAGCTCTACCTCAATTCCAGCTTATCCTTTGTTCTCCCACCTTCCCAGCTCCATCCCCTGCTGTCTGGACATGGTGGATGAAGAGAATAAAACATAAGTATGGGCTATTTTAAAAGGGTAGAGTGGTTGAGTAGAAAAATTTTAGTCTTTTTTTCTCTCCATCGTCATGGCATGTGATAGTAAGACCTTCCTTCATAAACTAGTGAAGACCATGAGAAGTGGGTAAATGTCCCATTTCTAAAGATTTTCAAAAAGATAAAGTTCCAGATTAATTTTTAATTTTCTTTTATTGTTTCATTCTTTAACATGGAAATAGCAAGAAAGCTCTACCCTTATTTTCCTTTAAAAAAGCAGTTCATGGGAACATCAGTATTGCAAAGGAACCAACCATCATTTCCATGATCTCTTCAATATATGTTCTTTCCACTAACACTGATAGTTCAATATTTTGCTGTCACAAAGCAGCATAAATAACACTGATGATGATTCTATTGAGAAAGTCCCCAGGGTACGAAAGTTAAACCTAGTTAATTTAGCACATCTTTCTGTGTGCCACACATGCCCTGAGCATATAGTTAGTAAATTACTCAGAATCTGTACTTTCCTGTCTTAATATTTTAAATGCATATGAGTTGTGTACATGTTTTTTTAAAGAAACTCCTGTTTTAGTGAAATAAAAAATGAATGGCAACCTAGAAGACCTCATAATCCATTATGCAAACATTTTCATTAAAACTTTTATGATAGTTTCTGTGCAATAAGGTTCCATGCTCAGGTCCAACTATCCCTGCAACATGGTTCCAGCATGAAGCACTGAAGTGACATCTTTAATATTTGACCTAAGGAAAAGGATAAGGCATATGAAAAGTGTTATCTCTTAACATATATTTAATATAGTTTATAGTCTAAGCTACTTGTACAGATATCATGAACTTAATAAATGACATTAAGTTATTTTTCAGTTTTTAATAGACACTCTTGAGGGGTCAATAGTTTCCGGAGTCTACACAAATTATTGTTACTCATAGGTGTGGATATACCCATGATATAAGACTTGAGAGGGTTGATGAAAAAATTCATGAAGAGGGCAAAAACCCTGCCCCACAATTGAACTAAATCAAAAGTTGATGTGCTCCTACATGCTAGTAATGATTGCAAAGGCTTAGTGTGTGCCTCATGTAATGGACATAGTGAGTTAATCCTCTAGACAGGGCAGAAAGCCTGCATAACTTTTTAGTACATAATATGGTGCTTTGTACCCAATAGACAATAACTGAATACTGTGCTTGACTACAAAAGAAATTGAAATATAAGGAAATATAACACTAGACAAGCAAATTTCTTGTTTAAATTTCTTTAGCCACTAAGAAACAAACACAAATCTCCATCATTCTTGCTATGCCAGGCTTTACAGTAGTGCTTTCATAATATTTTATAGATAGAACCACATTAAAACATCTGTATTTAAGGAGCAAACAAGGGAAAACAGCCAGGCAAAATTCCGAGAATAGAAATGACCAAAGTAGTTTGGGAAAAGTGTAGTATTCAGACAAGCCACTGGGTGAGGAGTAGGCAGGGGTAGGAATATTTTTTGAGAATGGTAAAGTCCTTTTTAGTGTCAACTTATGCCAGGGTCAAATAAGAGAATGACTGAAAATTATCCGTGTGCAGCAGTAGTGGCAACAATTTTGGTAGAGTGATAGAAGTGGTAAGAGAGAAAAAAGAGGACCCAGGATAAGTATATGCTGGATGTCAGCAGGTCAAAGGAGTTAACTCACAATGGTTTCTGTTTTCCCTGCTGAGTGGGAGGGAAGGTTGTCTCCTGGGAGTGAGGGTAAGTGTTTCGGAGAGATGAGAGTGAGTTTGAAATAGTTGCTGTGAAGAATGGGTGAGAGAGCTGACCAGGCAGCCCTGTGAACCTCATTGGGGTTGCAGACCATGACCGTAGAAGGTCATAAATGTTTTAGTGGAGAACCAGGTACTGCTGTGAAGTTTCCTCTTACTCTCTGGGTTTCTTTTGAAGATAAGGACTATATCTTAGGTTTCTAACCTCAGCAGATAACATAATGCCTGAATTCTATATAATGATCTATAATTATTTACTGTGTAATGAAATGCTGACCTATGTCATAAGATGTCAACAGCAACTATTGACTTATTCATGGACATCAACAGATAAACTTCCTTGTTTTCTGTCTATGCCAACTATGTCCCCAAACTCTCACACTATAGTTCTCCCTTCTAATCCCTCTTTCTCTGTGGCCCAGTATTTTCCCAGTCAAGTGATGGTGATCATAGAATACCAGGCATCTATCAAATTTAGTAATTGCAAAATCTTTCCAATGGAGATTCTTGGCATCATGGCTGTATTAGGGAAAAACCCAGAAAAGAGAAAAGCCTACTTGTATAATGAAATGTTCTTCTTGATCCTCATTTCCAAACTGATTTCCATCACAGAAATATACTATTCCTTAATGGTAAGCAATAGTTTCAGTTTCAGTTCATACAATCAGTATCTTTAGCGTTAGATCAACAGTATTAGAACTCTATATTTTGTGCTAACCAAATAGAAAAGCATCCTATTTCCTTTGTACTATAAAACTCTAGATAGAGTTAATTCACAGCTAAAACTTGAATTAAAACTCTAAACTGGTTCAGTGAAAGACAACCAATGATCAAGAACATTGTCTCTCATTAGCTCTGTTTTCTTAATACCCTGTGATGACTTTTGTTCCCCTGTGTATGGTTAGAAGTAAACAATGATGATTATAAAAAAAAAGAAAGAAAGAAAGAGTCTGGGATTGTATTCTACATAGACTAATGTGAAGGAATCGAGTTGAATGCATGATGGCCAATCTCAGCCATGTCATAGGATAGCTGGAACAAGATATATTTCACATCAATTCAAAATAATTTCTGTGCTTTTCCATTCATTTTAGCTGTATTGAAGAAGGGGACAGGCTGGGACTCAGGAAGATCACATAGCTGATGGCTTTCAAAATGAGACTGTATGTGATGTATAAGAACATCAGGCCTTCGTTCTAAATTGTGCAGGCACTAGTCTTCATTTAAAAAGTATGCTAGAAAAAATATTGCCTGATCACAGCCATGTTTTAAGATCTTCAATGCTTGTCTATGATTAGGGGGTGAAATGGCTTTAAATTTTTTTTTTTTTTTTAGAAATTCTGGCTTTTCTGTGAAGATCAGCCTCTTCCTAAGCTGCATCAACTTCAAATATTCTGCTGGCAGTGTCTGCACAAGAGGCTGCTAGGCTTCAGTCTGCTCGGGCCCTGGGATTCTACAGGGTCTAGAATCCTATGGTGCATGTCTATTCATTTCAAATAGTTTTCAAAAATAGAAAAAATGTGAGAGGATGAATGCTTAATATTAAATGAAAGGGATCTTGTGCTACAAAGCACACATTCTGCCTCTGTTGTATAGAATCCTAATTTTGAGGTTGAAATTTATATTCTTAATGTAATTTCAAAGTGGAACATAGCTTTTAAAACAGGAAAACAATAAAGGTGGCCATGCATAGCTTACAGATATGGCTGTGCTGGTAACGCCTGCACCGTGGTGTCAGGGTTCTCCATGCATAGGTTACCTTTAAAGCCAGTCAGGATACCAAGGTAAGTATTAAAGCACTTGAACCATACTCTGAGAAAATAAGGAGCAAGCGAGGGAGATGCCTGTGAGTTTTGTATAAACATTTCTCATATTGAGATTCCATTTCTCATTTTGTTTCTGCCTGGGTTCTCCAGGCACTCTACATAATGTTAATTATATCTTACAACTCCAGGATATCATTAAGAATATGTGAAATCCTCATTTATATTATTTTCAATTTGCATGTATTCTTATATATCTTTTGGACTTGAAAAATTATAAAAAGGTAAAAAATCAAAAAGTCAAAACAAAAATTTCCTTATGAATCTCAATGATGAACATGGAATATGTACTTGGTGGTACCCTGTACCCACTAAATAGAATTGGTGCTTATAGCTACATGTGTTTTACTTTCCAGGCTATAAGATAGAAGGCCATTAATGGATTTCTAGTTTCAAACAAGGCATCTTTAGTTAGAAAATGCAAATGAAAATTTTAGTAACCAGTCCTCTAGCACGATACTTGCCTTACATGTGAGAGGTGGTTTTGGAAATCAGTCACATCAACTTTCATTTTCCTTACCTGGACAATATTTTCAAATGCATTAACTTCTAATATAGGTTATTAAGTATATGACAAATCTGAATATCCATTGTGCATTTAATTTCATATTTTAATATTTTTATCCACTTACACGAAGAAACAGATGTAGAATACTTTTATTTTAGGGTCAATTATACCATATTGATAAATGAAAATGACACTGTACCTTATTATTATCATTAATAAAACCATTCCTTCAATGGGAAACTTCTATCTTTTTTACCGAAGGCACAAGCTTTTCCTTACCAGTGTATATCATGTGTCTTCTTTCAGGAAACAACAGATAAATGAAAAAAGAAAGAGAAACAGTTTACACCATAACTTTTACCATTGTCTTCCACCTCCGTGCCCTCCCTCCCTCCTGCCCACAAGCAAAAATAAAAAAATTATTTGAACTTGCCGGAAAGAGTTTGCTGTGACTAATTGCCTTTCTGGTGTGTGTGTGCCACACTTCATTTTATGATTAAGATTTCTGACTCAAGAAATTGTCAGCAAAAGACAATATATCAAAGTTTAAATATCAGTAATAAAACAGTACAGGAGATATTCTGTGACTACTTAGAACTGAAAGCGTTTTATTGAAAAAGGTTTGTTTTCTTTGGCAGCCTTCCATGACCTCCTACTGTTGACAAAACTAGCAGCCTGTCCTGTTTGAAGTGTAACTGTCAGCAGAAGCTGCTGCTTCAGAGCACTTACAGGATTTATCTCTAATATTTTCATCGAACACACTCGCGATACACCTTACATAATCTTTAAATTATAGGAAAATGCTAGAAGGGTGTTCTGCAAGTCACAGTCTGAAGTCAGGGGGGAGATTTATGGCTCTTTCCAGTCGACATTTGTGACTGACCTACAGCACACCAGGGCTGCTATTTCCCTTTCCTGATTCATGATAAGTGCAGCTGCCTCCAAATAAGCCCCCCGAGCCCATTAATGCTTAGTCCATTCCCTTATGGTAAATATGCACATCTCCAGTCTCACTTTTTAATGTTCAGCTGTGATGAAGTTGAATAGAAAACCAGGTTGCCTTAGCTTACTTGAAACCCTTTGCCAAGTAAGTGCCTCGCCATCAAAGCGTGGGTGCCCCAAAGTCCATCTTACCTCTGGCTCTAATTAAGGTGATGCTTTCCAGTCTAGTTTACTCACAAAAAAATTGCAAAATCGTTTTCCCCTTGCAACCTGGGTTTTAAGGTCCTGGACTGTGATGCCTTCCATTTTTCGCTGCCAGCACCCTATCTAATTAACAAAATTGCATCAAGATTGATATGAAGGTAAATATTAAAGGCACAAAAGGGAAGGGGAAGCAAATTATTTAAAATGTCAGAAAAGCCAAGACATTCATCTTCCCTGCCGCAATTTGTTTTTCATTAATAAAATATACATTGTTTTCCACTCGGAAAAGTTATTAGTGGCAACACAGTCTGCATGAAGCTTTGTCTCTTCCAAAATGAAGTCTTTGTTTAGACATTGGTGATGGGGGTTTTGTGTCATTGTCTAATCTGTCAGATTAGATGAGCAAGTGTATTTAGGGGTGTAAAGATGTGCAGCCACACCTGCTGTGCAAAGCTGTGAATTCACAACTCTTCTGACTATTAAAATGTGTTATGCTGGGAGCTCTTTTGTTGTAATAAAACTGTTGGTGGTTGCGTGTTTGAAGTGGCGCAAGTGTCAGGCCTTATTACAATCATAATAATCACACCAAAAGTAACCTCATATTTTGACTATTTAATGTTAATGTGGAACAAATTAAAGGCTAAGCACCTAATAGATTCGGAGATGTTAAATTGATTTTGCACTCAAATTTTTCTAAGGAAAAACAGAAGTCCATTAATGAAATAGTATTCACGGTCCAGAAAAAACTATAGTCATCTGAAGAAGAGTTTTGAAATAATATAGGAAGCAGACAAAGGATACACAACAAAATATGAAGCCAATGTTGTGACAATAAAATTATTGTCAGGAGAATGCTATTAAATGTGATCCTTAAAGAATGCCAATTATAATTTCTTTATTTGTTGATGTCTGTGCTCGTCATATGAACATACTCTGATATTTTATTCCCTCAGCTAAATATTGGATTGTGCCTAAGCAGAGATAATGCTTTCTATTTATCCCTAATTACAAGGTCAGTTTTTTTTTTTTTGCAGGTTCTATTATTTTACCGTGCTAAAATGTGGCTACATTTAATAATCTTTTATAACAAAGCAAAACAAGATAATATTAGCTGCCTCACTTATTAACTCACCATGCACTTTCTAAAACCTATTTTTCTACCTAATTTGTCATTTTATCGTGTTTTTTCCCCCCCTTTGGCATATTGGTGTTCTTTAAAGGATGTCTAAGAAATCTATAGGAATTTCTTTAGTGTAAGTTAGCAGGGTATTGGCTGAAGAAAAAGAAATTTTTTCTTCAGTATTCTAAAAAATTTTAAAAGGGAATGGAAAAAAGAAAAGAACAAAATGCTAAGCCTAAAGAGCCTCTGTTGTCACTTTTATAACACTAAGCAGCTTGTGGCAGGTTTAATAGACCCTAATCTAGAGAGGCCTTTTTAGAGACCTTAGACCTGTATGGCCTCATTAATTCAAACTGTACGTGACAGTTCAGAGGTGTCCTAAACCAGCCATTACGTGCATAAACAGGCTCGGATGCCAGCGTGGCACGTACACTGTCCTCAGATCAGAATTTGTCATCCTCGATGACTATGATTAGAGAAAACCTCTAAAACAGAAGAATTTTTTTCCTCTATAAATACTAATGAAGTCTGATCATGAGGTCTAGTTCATTCCCTTCCAAAATAGACTTTAAAATATTTTAACACTAACCTAGAAGAAGATAATGCAAACTTAACAGAGAAAAGGTACTGGTTAAAAATAATTGAAAGATATTGGCCTCCTTCAACTCTCCCCAAATTGTCATTTTATGGAGACTCAGGCATACAATTAGGTCGTTCTCATTTGACAATCATCACCATGCTGAGACCTGGATCTCATATGTGTAACATCTGGATTGTCCTGCAGATGTAGCAGGGTGACAGCTTCACACATTCCTTGAAAAGAGGCGTCCACACACTGACAGTTACTCATCATTCAGAAAAAGAAAAAAAAAAAGGATGAAATGAAAGAAAGATTTTCCTCCTGACTCTTAATTTAGGCTAATCTATGTAAATACATTATCTAATAACAACCAGCACAAGAACAGTTTTCCTGCACAATTGGAAATTGCAGCTGCTCCAAATTATAACAAGAAATATTTTACCTTGTGATGAAAAACAGAAAAAGTTTTACTGAAGGCCAAACTTTATATAAGAAAGGAAATAAAGAGTACTTGAAGATTTGATTTAATTTAATTAACTTTGTAATAATCTTAAATTACTTCTTTTTTAATCCTTATATAAATGCCCAATAAAGACTTTGAATGTGAAAATGTTAAAATAATACGTAAACCTAGTATTTTAATTAAATCAACACCAAACTAATTTCTAGCCATTACTTGTTGAAAGAAGTCTTTTTGATAACAGGATTGTTCATCCTAAAGCTTCATAAAGTAATAAATATACATATATATATATAAATATGTGAAAATTAATACATACACATGTATTTTTCTTTCTAAGCTGAAATTTTCTGCAAACCTGTAATGTTTATTTTATACTTAGTCTTCCTAACAACATTGGTGTTTTAATCGCTTACATTTTCCTCAGAACATTGTGCCCTTGTTTTCCAGGCCAATTTTATTCTGGATAAGCAAAATACTGACTCTGTTTAAAACTTTCCTGCACAGATGACATATTTTAAAAAGGCAGATATACAAAGACTGGTTTCCATTTCCTGAAATTAATGAAAGTCACTGTATGCAATGGATCTTTAGGCGAGAAAATACATTATTTTATGGAAGATATTAAAAAATGTTATGCAGACTTCTCTGTCTCTGTAGTATATCCAATCCAGCTACAAAGATTCAATACTCTTGACTTACATTTTTACGTGCTGGATTAGTCTTTATATTTGTTTTGATAGAAAAGCAGGCAACAGCCTATTTCATGGACAATAAATTCAAGATAGTAATGATGAGATAGTATTGCCTCAGCTAAGTACACTCAGATTGGAGGGTCACATATTTGACCTCGATCTAGTATGGTCCTTAATGAATCTATATACTTGATTAGGGTTACTGTCTTTTTATGGCTCAAAATAGCTTTGCATGGAAAACTAGCTCATTTTAAGTGGAGCTGAAAGAATCATTTTGCTTCCAACACATCTCTAAAACTTTTCCAAAGACTTTTAAATGCTTGCTTTAAAATTCTAACGTCCCAGAAAGCTGTCCTTCCCCTTGCCAATTCTGGTTTTGTTTCACAACCTTCACTGCATATGGAAAAAATTCTTCTCTGCCACCTTTTAATGGTATGAAGAATTCTATTTTTCAAATAATCAGTGTAATTTCTGAGATATTGCATTAAAGCCCTAGTCTTGCAGAATTTTTCATGTCTTCCTTACCTATCCTGTTTCACAAAAGAGAACTGAAGAATTGATGTTGGCATGTCATGTTGAGAAATTTGTTTAAGTAACAGTAAAAGGCAATCAACAGTAAGGATTAGAACTTGGAGCCATTATATGTCTTTTGTTCTATTTTGTGTGCTTTGTTCCCTTTATTCATTCATTTTTATTAGTATTCTGTCAGCTTCAAAGTAAATGGGATTTTTATAGGGTCCAGTCCCAGATATTACCATTAATGTTCTGGTTAGCATGCACTGCACCTTCTTCATTATGCAATGGTCTTTTACAGTCTCCCCGCTTCCTCGGAGTAGCTCTCTCCTTATCTGTGCTTCCAACTCCATCTGTCTGTCTCTCTGCTTCTCTCACTGCATCGCTCACTCTTAATTCAGGGAAGTGATTTCTTACCTCTTGTCACTCTCTTTCTTTCTTCCACTCACTCTCAATCAGAACTCGTTTCCTGATTCCGTGACTGCTCTGGACTCATGTATCTCCCTCACTCCCTTCCTCTTTCAGAATCATGATCGAGATTCTTTCTATCCTCTTCTTCTTTTTTTTAAAATGCAGCTTCTGAAAGCCTTCTTTTCTTTCTTTATCTTATTCGACCTTTCAGGACTTGGAATGTAGACAAAATTAGACAGTAAAATACTGATTTCACATTACTAGGTACACTCCTGAAGAAATAAATATTTTCTAAAAGTTTCTAAAAGTATGAAATGGTAGGCTTCCGTGCTCTCACTCATTAACAAATGTAGTGGACGTTTTAAATCAAGGGTATTTGGAGATGAAATGGTTACTTCTTAGGTGTGAGTTATTGTCTCTAACAATGACAAAAAAAATGAGAATACAAATAGACAGGTTGTTCATACTTCCAGTTGTGTTTCCTAGTGTTGGACTCAGGCCTGACTCTGGAAAGAGCAAAAGTGTTTGGATTTTAAGTCTTTTATATACCACTTCATATGCTTAGATTGCTTTTATATTGTTACTCCTCCACATTCTAAAATGTGTTGGTTACACATTCTTTTTAATATATGATCTTGGTTGGATGTATTTACACCGGAATTACAGTGCCAGAATAGTTAAGTCATTCTAACAATATCAGAAATTTCGTGTGGAATTCAATAGTTACAAGGATTTTTAAAATAGCATTATATATCCCTAAGCCCTTCACAGTGAATACAGTGGAAAGGTCAATCCGTTTTTCCTAAGTTTTAAAGGTAAAACAAAAATGCAATTTAAAAAGAGGCAACTGCATCTATTTTAGACCTTCTTTCTCACTTGGGTTACGAACAAGGTAAATTTTCAGTCACACACCACCAAAAGTAAGCATCACAGAAATGACCATTTTAATATATACTTTATTTCCATATCATTCCAATTTTGAATGGGAATTCTTTAGTAATTCTCTCAAGTGAATGCTGCCTTAAAAGAAAAATACCTCTATTGGCATAGAAATCTCCAAATACTAATGAAAGTGAAAAAGACTAGGAAAAACCAACAAACTTTAGGGGAAAATAAACCTCAGAGTTAAAAATAAATTGAGGACACTAGAGCAATCTCTACTATCTCTGTAACATAATTTGTAAATTAATTTTTTTCCTCAGTAAGATAATGACGCAAGTGCTCTTCCATTAATTACTAGGAAAAAAAAAAGCTGAATGATATAAATGTAATTCAAAAGGAAATACATTGATTTTTTTTTTTGCTCCATGTAATTGTCACATAAGTAGGCCATAAGCTATGATGTAGGCAACACCCACAGCTTATTGGAAGCAAGCTTGCATTTCCATAGTCCATTTTCACATACCCTAATAAACAGAATAAAATATTTAACATGACGGTAAAACTCAGTTCTCTCCCACCTCTTCTTGACAATTCCGTAGCTCAATATCCTGTACATTTTTGTTTGAGAGGATGAAGTTTTTTTGTTTTTTTCCTCCAGTAGTATTAATCTATTTTTCTGTCTTAGCAGGGATACATTAACCAGGACGAACTCTGAACACGTTTTTATTTCTTACCATAGAAAATACAGCTAGATAGCTCATTAAAATGTATCAGTGAATAATAACCTCTTCCTTTAAATTAACTAATATCTAAGTTTAATGAAGCTCCATTTATAGTGATTTTCTGGCTGAAGTGCTCTTCTCTCTGCCTAATTATGTGCACGGCTTTCAGACAACAAGGCGTGTCTTTAACATTAGATAAGAACCTGAGCTTTTATCTCAATCAATAGTCTTTAGCCTTTGAACTCCTGTCAGAGGAAGACCAGTCCGTCATGTTCAGTTCTACCTGATCTCTTTTTCTTCTTGATGCACGCTGCCATTTACAAAAGAAACACACACACACACTCACGCATGCTCACATACACCCATGCACACACCTAAGATATAAGCAGGCAAAGTGTTTAGATTATTTGCCTGTCTGTGTGTGTGTGTA